TGACTAACCAGCTGTGGTTCATGCCCTGTAGAATAGTACACAGCAGTGAATATGCTCTTGAAATTCACAGTGACTGGGATCTACAGACAATTATGCTGAGTGAAGAAAGCCAATCCCAAATGGTTACAAACCATATGGTTCACTTTATAGAATATTCTGGAAATGACAAAATTTTAGAAATAGAGAAGAGCTTCATGGTTGCCTGAGATTAGACAGGGGAAAGGTTGGGAGACTAGTGGATATGACTACAAAAGGGCAGCATGAGAGAACCTTGTGGTGATGGAATATTCTGTATTTTGATGGTATCAGTGTCAATATCCTGATGTGAAACTAGTTTTTCAAGGTGTTCGCATTGGGGGAAGCTAGGTGAAAGGCCCACGGGCTCTCTATTATTTCTTAGAACTGCATGCAATTGTCTCAAATGAATAATTGTCTCAAATATATTATCTCAAAATTAAAACTTTTTAAAAAGATGTGGTCCAACAGAGGTAGTTTCCTCTAGAAACCAAAGGTATTATTTTCTGGACTTATTTGTCCACTTCAAAGAGATTTCCAAGGACAGTATGTACTGCTGCCCTCCAATCAAACTAGGTTCCCTGGAGTCCTGGGTGCCCAATGGACACTCAGAGGGGCTGCCTGCAAAGTCAGGGGTCATGCTAAGCAGGTGCACCCCATCTTCAGCCCCAAGGCCCCTACTTCAACTGGAAAGAAATCCATTCTGACCTGGTAGAATGTCTTCAATTTTGTTTGTCAAGACTTTTGTGCTTAAAAATAAAAGGAAGTTTGAAGCCGCTTACACTGAGTCCAAATCTCTCATTTTGCCCCTGTCAAAGTGTACTAGGGTTGATGTTTCCCCCTTTCTCTTTCTTTCCTTTTCTTTTTTAAATTTAACTTTAGTCCTTGTTCTTTAGAGTAGGCATAGGGTCGCTGGCGTCTAAGGGTTAGAAGCACTCTCAACTCAGGATCACCAGCTCTAACTTCAGCTTCAGCCACGGCAGGTTCTCATTATGCCCATTTTACAGGTGGAACAACTGAGGCCTGGGGCCCAGAGTGAGTCAGGCTTCATCTAGATTGAGGGATATTTTCAACTCCCATCTCAAATAGCATCAGCTACTGCCATTATTTCTCAAAAAATTTGGAATTGCAAAGATTACAATCTGGGCCAAAGGCTAACTCTTCCAAGTGGATTTAAATGACACATGTGGGTTTGTGGAGTATAACAACGAAGCAAAACTGAAGGAACAAAAAAGCAGCAGACTCACAGACTCCAAGAAGGGACTAGCAGTTACCAAAGAAGAGGCGTTGGAGAGGCGTATTATGATCAGTTCACATGGTGTGGGGGGTGTCATAGGGAGACAGTGCAGCACAGAGAAGACAAGTAGGAACTCTGTGGCATCTTACTACACTGATGGGCAGTGACTGCAATGGGGTGTGAGGGGGACTCAATAATAAGGGTGAATGTAGTAACCACATTGTTTTTCATGTGAAACCTTCATAAGAGTGTATATCAATGGTACCTTAATAAAAATAAATAAATAGATGCCACATGTGGGATTTAAATGTCACATTTAAATGACACATGGGGTGGGGGTTAAGTTGGAGTTCCTTCATGGAAGAGTGGAAAAAGTTCCAGATTTGAAGTCTAGCCTCAAATCCTGACTGAGTTAGGCACTTCTCAGTGATGTGACCTTAAGCAAATCATTCCACTCCTCTGATCCTCACTTTTCTTATCCATGAAGTGGGACAGACGATACTCCTGATTTAGAGGATCCTTTTAATATGTGTTTAAGGTGATTAAGACAGGCCCAGTCCTCACAGACATCCATTCAGTGACTGGGTCATATCTCACACAGAGAACCAGGCTGCCAAGAGCATGTTCTTCCCTCCCTGCACCTACGAGGCATCCTTCTCAGACCTAAGAAGTCACTGGGGGGGTTCTCGTCCACCTGGGAGATCCCAATGGCCTCCTCACACGAATGCCAAGGCATAGTGAGGGCTGATGGTTTCCAGGCACTGCTCTGAGCACTGTATACCAATAATCTCACTGTGGATAGGGGCGGCCATCTCCCCATTTTTATGGAGGTGGAGACTGAGGCCAGGCTGTCTAACTGTTGCCTCCAGAGTGGACGTGTCTGCTGATTCAGATGGGCCAGCTGACAGTTCTGGAATGTGGGGAAGCTGGATGCCATGCTCAGCTGCTGAGCTGGCTCCCTGGGGCGGTCAGCTCTGCCCACAGGACAGTGGGAGGTTGTCTCATGAAACAACCCCACACCCCACACAGACATTGGGCAGTGAGGTCACCTCAGGATGGAGCTGGGCTGGGGGGGTCCCTTACTCCTGGTCACTCCATCATGGCCCTGGAATTCCACCCACAGCAGAGGGATAGGAAATGCCCTGAGGTTGTGCCAGGTTCTGTGCCAGGTTCCATCCTGTGCCAGGTTCACATACTATCAGGTGCTGTAGGAAGTCAACTCTTCATTTGCTCACAGAGGTGAAGTGCCTTAACCTGGGACTAGAAGGCAAACAAAGGTAGTGACTGGTTTTATTTGAGCACCTACTATGTGCCAGTCATCGAAACCTTTAAGTGGTAGGAAGTATTACGTAGACCAGTGGGTCTTGAGCAGACACCAGCAGCACCTTGGGGGCTTGTGAAAATACAAACCGTGGATCCTACCTTCAGAGTTCCTGACTCAGTAGGGCCTGGGATGGGGCCTGAGAATTTGCATTTCTGAAAGGTTTCCAGGGGCTGCTGATGCTGGTCAGGGCCCACATTTGAGAGTTATTAGGTCAATTTCCTTTCCTCTGCTTAATGGTAGTCCTCGAGTTTCTTCTTACATATCTCCAGAGACAGAGGACTCATTGCCTTTTCTTTCAGTATATTTCATTCCTAGATAGTTCTTATTCTGAAAATATGAAATTTTTAGGTGTAATTGTGTACAGATGAAAACCAACTCTATGTCTCTTCTCTGTAACCCATTCTTTCTTCCTCTGGACTACATGATCTCATCAGAAAGGAGCAATTGGAGGAGGCTTGAAATCAGACTGAGGTCTCCCTCACCCCCACAATGCATCAGCTGCTGAGCCCTGTCCCTTCTGCCCTCTAAATCAACACTGTCCAATAGAAATATATTATGAACTCTGTGTGCCTGCAAAAAAAATTTTAATTACCCAGTAGCTACATTAAAAAATAGCAAAAAGAAGCAGGTGAAACTAATTAAGTAATATATTTTATTTAATCCAACATATTGAAAATATTATCTTTTTAACAGGTAATCAATACAAGAATTATTAATGAACTGTTGTATATAGTTGACCTAGAGCAACACAGGGGTTAGGGGTGCCGACCCCCTACACAGTTGAAAATCTGCGTAACTTTTGACTCCCCAAATACTTAACTACTAATAGCCTACTGTTGATTAGAAGCCTTACTGATAACATAGTCGATTAACACATATTCTGTATATGTATTTTATATGGTATTCTTACAATAAAGTAAGCTAGAAAAAGAAAATGGTTTTTCAAATTGCCTCAAATCTCCAAAAAATTTTCCAATATATTTATTGAAAAAAATCCACGTAGAAGTGGACCCATGCAATTTAAACCCGTGTTGTTCGAGGATCCACTGTATTCTTTTTTCTTCATGCCACGTCTTAGAAATCTCTTTTTTTACACTGACAGCACACCTTGGTTCTGACCGGTCACCTTTCAGGGACTCCATGACCGTAATGTGGCTGGTGGCTACTGTTTGGACAGTGCAGTGATCCTGTCCCTAGTCCTTATCACCCCTGACATAGCTTGTGCTCACTGGATGCCTGCCCCTCACATCTTCCTTCGCAATCCCCAATACAGCAGCCAAATAAATCATCATCTAAAAGGTAGATTTGATGGTGTCCCTCTTTGTGGCTCCTCATCAGTCTCAGGACAATGTCCCACCTTCCTGGTCTGGCTTCTGAGGCCCTGCCTCTCTTGCTTTCCCTTCTCCCCTCCTCCAGCCCCTAAAGCCCCCACTTTCATGCTGTACTGAATTATTCCCAGATCCTCCACATAGTCATGCCTCTTAGTTCTAAGCCTTTGCACACATGGTTCCCTCTGCCTGGAATGCCCTTGGAATGTGTCTTGGGCTACCCTTTCCAGTCATTCACTCATTCAACAGAATTTGTTGAGCGTCTACTGTGTGTCAGACACTGTCCTAAATCCTGAAGCAAACAAAACATAACAAGGAAATATGCACAAGAGGAACATATATAATATGTCAGATGGGGAACGGTGAAGCAGGATGAGAGGAAAAGGTGGTGCTGGTGGTTACCGCTTTGTACAGTGTGGTCAGGCGTGGCCTAGTGGAGAAGAGGACATTTGAGTAGAGACTGGAAGGAGCCAGGAAAAGCATTCTAGATGGAGGGAACAGCCAGTGCAAAGGCCCTGAGGAGGGAACCTAACTGGAGTATTTGGAGCACATCCAGGGTGACTGGGCCAAGTAAGGGAGGAAGTTGTAGGAATTAAGGTCAGAGATAGCAAGATGTGGGTGGCAGATAGTGCAGGGCTGTGTAAGAACTTGAGTCAGGTGGGTGCCCTGGGAGGGTGCCGAGAGAGGAGGACCATGAGCTGACTTAGGGTTTAAATAGATTCCTCTAGCTGCCCTGATGAGAACAGATGGCAGGCCAAGGGCAGGAGCAGACACCAGTGATTGTGTTGGTTGCCCTGGAGGTGGAGAGAAGGGCAGGATTTGAGATACATGGCAGGTGAGGTCAACAGGGTTTTCCAGATAGGTCAGATACAGAGTATGAGACAACAGAGGGGCAAGGATAACTCCAGGATTTGGGCTGAGCTTAGGAGCCAGATGACCCTCTTCCAGGAAGCCCTCCTGGAGACCCACAGCTCCCTGAATCTTGCTCTCATAGGGCCTGTCACAGCCTTTCTCCCTCTGGCCTGGGCGCTCCCCAGGGAAGCGTAGGACTTGTTTGTTCTGCTTCCAGAGTGTTTGGTAAGTGAGCAAGAGGCAGAGGCAGGCTGAGCTGGGCTTCTCCTGGTCTCGGCTGTGAGAAGTCAGTCCCCACCCTCCTCCCTCTTGGGACCTGTATTTTCTACCTGCGCTGGGCAGTGGATGTTCTAGCCTTTGCCCAGTTTCCTCACCAGGAGAGGGCACTGCCAGTCCCCTGATGCTGGGACTACTCTCCTGCTGCCTGCCGAACCTCACCCCTCCTGGGAGCATTGGGTTGGCCCACATGGCTGGGCCCTGAGTCAGCCTCGCCAATGGGGTGGGGAGGGGACCCAGGAAACACCCCTCCTCCTCCCTGCCTAGAGATTGGCTCAGCGTCCCCCATCACTGCCCCCTGGAGCCAGAGGCATCCGTGCCCAGGGGACAGGTCTGGGGTATAGCTACCCCAGCTGCTGCTCCTGGCATGTCATGGGGAAGAGGCAAATGGGACAAGAGGGCCTGGGGCTGATAGCGCCAGCAGGAAGGAATGCCCCTGGGGCCCAGGGCAACGTCACGCCCCGCCCCCTCCCTGTCACGGGGGTGCGGCCGGACCTCTCCCCAGCCTCCTCCTCCTGCCCAGCCTGGCATCATTAACGTCCACACACCCAGCTCTCCTTGCAACCCAGACAGACCTCGGGACCACAGGTAATGGGCCTGGCTCAGGCTCGCAGCAGGGTGGGGGGTTGATGGTTAAGAGACTCGGGGATCCCAGTCAGGTACCTTCCCAGCTGGATGAGCACCTCACTCTCCATCTCTGGAAAAGTCAGAGGTGGGTGACAAAGATTCCCCACCCTGGGTTGTTTTGAGGCTCCAGTCAGCCCTTGCCGGGCCGCAGCAGGTGACCAGACTCCCAGTTCTGTTGCTAACTTGGCTGCGCACCTTCAGAAAACCCCTTGACCTTTCTGAGCCTCGGTTTTCTAGTTTGTGAAATGAGGGGTCTGACTAGATCTTTGGAACCTGCCCCGCTCTGCCCTGTGCGACTGATCAGCTTTAGAGGGCAAGGCTGCTCGCCCCGAAGTCCCAGCCTCTGTGCTCTGAGCAGACAGTGGAGGCAGCTGCCTTTCTATCTTCCTTTGGAAGCCCTCTGGGTCCTGCTCCAGGCCTGGAGGCCTGGGGGGACATTAAGGCCAGTTGTCTCCTCTGCCTTACTCATAGGAACTTCTGGGGGGAAAATACTAACAGAGAAAGCTGGGTCTTGGGGGAGGGGGCCCCTGCTGCCTGTCAGAGGCTCACCCAGGTGGTATGCCCTGGAGGGGAGCCCCACCCCACCCACCCAGCCCAGCAACACCATCTCCCCGCTGCCCCCACCCCCCACTGTCACCCTGAGTTTTGGGAGCCACCTCTGCCCCAAGCGTCCCAGCCCTCTGGCCTCCAGCCAATACATTTTGCTTTTAAGAGGGACAGGAAAGATATGGTCTTATGCTTATTATTTTATTCTGTTTTGGTTAAAAACTGCCAGAAAAGTTGAGTCAGGAGTATGTGTTAGGGGAAATTGTGGTGAGTAAAGTATGGGGGCAGGGGGGATGTTCTGTTGGGGTCTAAACCAAGCAAATCTATAAACAATGAGACCCCCCCAACCTGTCTCTGAAATTCCTAGAAGTTGGGCTGGTGTAGCCCTAAGCACTAAGGTGCCTGCATTTTGAAATCCTTGCAAAGCCAGCTTCTTAGAAAGCTCAGTCTCACACACTGGCTACTACACCCAAGGGACATGCTAGCCCTGACAGAGGCCTTATTCCACGTTCATAGCAACCATATGTGGGAAGACCTCTTTTTTTTTCAACAGCAACTTTATTGAGATATCATTCACACACCATAAAATGCACCCTTTTAGACTGTACAGTAGGTGTTTTCTAGAATATTCACCACTATCTAATTTAGAACATTTTTATCATCCCCAAACAAGTCCTATGCCCTTCAGCAGTCACTCCCCATTTCCCCTCTCCCCTGACAACCACTTTCTGTCTCCGTGGATTTGCTTATGTTGGACATTTCATATAAACCGAGTCGGACAAGAGGTGAATCCTTCTGCCCGACTTTGCAAACATTTTCAAGGTTTATTATACGTGCTGTGTAGCGTGTGTCAGCACCTCATTCCTCTCTATGGCTGAATTCCTCTCTGTTGATTGCATGATTATATCACAGTTTGTTAACCCATTCATCAGTTGACAGACATTTGGGTGTTTCTGCTTTGTGGATATTATGAATAATGCTGCTGTGAACATTCATGCACAAGTCTCTGTGTAGACATAGGTTTTCAGTTCTCTTGGGTATATATCTAGGAGGGAACTTGGCTCATCTGGGAAACCTACGTTTAACATTTTGACACACTGCCAAACTGTTCTCCAAAGTGGCTGCACCATTTTGCAAGCCCACCAACAATGTATGAAGCCTCCAAATTTTCCACATTCTTGTCAGCACTTGGTATTATCTATATTTCTTATTTTAGCCATCCTAGGGGTGCAAAGTGGTGTCATTTTGTGGTTTCGATTTGCATTTCCACAATTACAAATGATGGTGTGCATCTTTCCACAGGCTGTTGACTATCTGTACATCTTTTTTAAAGAAATGTTTATTCAAATCCTTTGGCCATTTTAAAACTGGGTTATTTGTGACTTTATTGTTGAGTTGTAGGCATGCCCGCTTTTCCAGGGGAGGATTCTGAGGCTCCCAGGATGAGTGTGACTTCCAGTGATCTGGCAGTCAGCAATGGGCAGAGGGGGACTAAGTCCAGGTCTGACATCTAAAAGCCAGCAAGCTCTTTTGTACTGGGTGCCTCCCTTCTGGATTTTCTCTTGGGAATTACGTGTGTGTGTGTGTGTGTGTGTGTGTGTGTGTGAAAGAGAGAGAGATGAGAGAGAAAGCCATACAGAGAGAAAAAGATAGAAAAGAGAGAGAGGAGACAGAAACTGGAATGAGAAAGAGCAGTCTGGACTGGCTCTGGCTGTTTAAATAAACACCGAACTAGGAGATGCAAAGCCAGGGAAATCTTTTAAGGTTTTTGTTTTCTTTCCCAACAATCTTCAAACATTTTGGGGACCTCAAAAAGCTTATTGGGAGCACCCTCCCCCTGGGTTTTCTGTCTTCCTAAGTCTGAAACAAATCTGATTAGACCTCAAACTTCAAACAGTGAACTGCATCCCCTCATGTCCAGCTGGTGCTAAGGACCTGGAGCCATGGTGGTCGCGCTCCACCGTGGTTTCACTGCTTCCTCTCCTCAAGAACAATGCGGCAGGCGCCCCCAACATATCGCATTTATGGATTCAGAAATTACACACAAGTACTGTGGCTACACAAAGCAGTGTGACCCTTGTCTCACGGCCCAACGTACAATCGGAGTGAATTTCATCACCAACAGTAGTGGGTGGAAGTCCACCTTTCAAGTAGTTTTCTTATTATAATTCAAGTAAGCAGCATTGTGTGTGAGATCCCATGGGTTATAGTTTTCAACGTGGTAAGGTGGCGGGTGAAGAACTTGAACTGGGAGCAGTAAGCGGGGCTGGGCTGCACTTTTCCTGCACTTTCTGGATTAGAGTGTCTCCATCTGTGGTTCCTTTGCAGGGACTCTAAATCCATTTGTCACTGCATGGGGGCTGATGCAGTTCCAGCTGTATTGTTTGACCCTCAGATCCACCCAGCAGTCCATGGCAACAGGCCAAATGCAGAGAAACAGAACACATTGCCACAGCAGAATGTCCTGTGGGGCTCCCCGCTGGCCTCTGGGGGACACTGCTTTGTGGACATGGCATTTGGTGTCTGACACATGGGGGGTGCACAGCAGGGTGGAACATAGACTATGAACAATTTCTAGTTAAAAGTGAAGTAGAAATAGATGAATTAATATTTTCCTCCTGCTCTTTGGAGACGATTATTTGAGAGGCTAATGCGCTCTGAGCTAAGGACATCCCAGCCCACCTCCGCCACTCCTCAGCTTTCCTTCTCCCATGGTCGGCTGCTCATGACCACCCACAGCAGATGTCATTTTTAGAAAAGTCTTCTATATGTCAAGCTGGCATCTCCCTGGTGACTCCCCATGGTCCTGACCCCTCCATCTGGGCTCACGGCCTTTCCTGGTCCCTGTGTCCTAGAGGAGGCCCTGCAGAGACTTGGGGACAGCGGCCAAGTCTGTCTGTGCACCGCTCAGCCCTAGGTTGAGCACCCTGCTCCTCCAGCCACTCCTCTTGGGTGTGGTCTCCATATCCCTATCCTCTGGATTCTCTCAGTTTGTCCAGACCCTACTCTTTTCAGTTCCTAGGATTGAACCTGGGATGGGGAAATGGTAAGATATGGGTCACCTTCCTCACTATAGACTCTGTGCTTCTGTTAATATGACCTAAGGCTGTGTTAACTTTGCTTTGTAGCCCTATCACCATGTTGACCTTAACAAACATTGGTTATGCCCCTATTATGTGCTAGACACCAAGTTAGATGCTTATGCTAACGTTTGCTTACCTTTCAGAGTGTCTTTTGAAAACCCCAGGTCTTTCTGTATGAACAGCCTCCAAGCTGGGCCCACCCATCTTCTTTCTGCACAGATCTAATTTTGTCCCTTTTACTTTCTTGTTTTAGCCTAGGGCCATCCAACAGGCAGGGGCAACCCAGGCCCTGGCTACATCCTTGGATGTGTTATGGCCACAAAGTTTACCCAGATTCATGACAGGTCTGTCTAGCTTGTGGTCAGCTGGCTAGGCACTGTGGGTTGTTATCCCACCATTAAACTGCCAGGTTGGACTTGGAACAAAATGATGGAGAAGGAAAACTGTGATGTCTGTGAGGTTCTTTTGCTCTCTGTGAGGTTTCTCTCATGCTTGAACTGCAGCCTCAGATCTAAGTTCATATCCAGGCTCCCTGTTGTGTGGCCTTGAGCAGGTGTCTTTCCCTCTCTGGGCCTCAGTTTTTATCTCCTGGCCACAATTCAAGCTTGGGAAAAAGGAGAGACCACTAAATGGGGGTAGCTGGGGTGGTGGGGTGAGGGTCAGGAGAACCTGGGGTAGGAAGGGGCTGCTAAAAAAAAAAGGGGGTGTGGGGTGTGAACAAGTAGAAAATCTTATAACGAGAAAGGAAAAAAAATCTCATAAAGAAACTTTTTGCCAGCCTAACATTATTTCTCTAAACTCTTAAATTCAGCACTTTATAATTTCTTTTTATGAAGCACTTTCTCTAAGCCAGAACTAGAATATAGTAGAAGATAATAAAACATGATTCCTATTCGCAGAGAGCTCTGGAATGGGGGCAGCAACCCTGTGAGATAGTGACACTGTCTCCATTTCACAGATGGGGGAACTGAGGCTCAGAGAGGTAAAGTGATTTGCCCAAAGTCACAGAGCTGGGAAGTAAAGTGATGAAGCAGGACTTGAAGTGGGCTCTGTCAGACCCCATTACCAGACTGTCTTAATCAATCCAGACTGGCTAAGCACATGATAATTTTACTGTGCACTTTCCTATCCATAACCCTTTTGAGATCCAAAACCCTTAGGGAGTGGCATTATTCTGTCTTCCATATAACAAAGAGGAGGAAAGTGATGTGCTCAAGGGCCCAGGGTAGGTTGGTGGCCAGGCCAGGCCCAGGCCCTGGGTCTCAGGCCAGCTGACTGCAGTTGCCCCCCACCGAGCCTGTGGCCTGGGAGTGCCAGGAGGATCACCACCCA